AAGGGTAGGGAAATACATAGTAGGAAAAGTGAAAAAGCATCATATTTTTATCCTCCCTCCTATAACAAATGACACCTGACTGAAAATAGAAGCAAGAGAATGTGGTGTTTTTTAGGGCTGTGTGACATTTCACCGGCCTTTTCATTTTGACACTGTTTCGACCAATTTCAAGGTTGAAAAAGCAAAATCAGAACGAAACAAAGGCCATCAAAATAGCCTTGAAACAAAACAAGGCAAGTTGAAACGATTCAGAAGTCGAAATGTTTCAACCATAGATCTCCATCCCCAGCACTAGATTGCGCCAGGGACAAGAGGCAGCCCAGCTGGGCTGCTTTCCCATCCCTGGCACTAGATTGTGTGAGGGGTGGGAGGCAGCCCAAGGCAAAATGGAATGGTGCTGTTTTGCACAGCCCTAGTGTTTTTTCTCTGGTGTTATCATTTCTCACTTCAGAAGGTGTTAATTGAAAGACTGCTGTAAATGTTTTCCTCTTTTCTTCTGTTTACTAAAGAAGGAATGTCCTGCTAGAACAGAGGGATTTTTTTTAAGGGTGCACAGAAAATGACTCATTTGGTTTAAATGTCTTAAATTCAATTCCATGTTTTTAACAATCAAACCCTCTCCCCACCCCATCCTACAAAACAATAGTAAACATGATCATAGAAACCTAGAATATTATGGTTGGAAGGGACTTCAGGAGGGCATCTGGTTCAACCCCCTGCTCAAAGCAGGACCATCTGCAACTAGATTATCCCAGCCATGGATTTGTCTATCCAGGTCTTAAAAACTTCCAAGGATGGAGATTCTACAACCTCTCTGGGTAACCTGTTCCAGTGTTTTACAACCCTTCTCATGAGAGTTTTTCCTAATATCTAACCTAAATTTCTCTTGCTGCATCTTAAAACCATTGTTCCTTTTTCTGTCATTTGCCAATACTGAGAACAGACTAGCTCCAACCTCTTTCAAACTACCCTTCAGTACCCTGAGGTACTTAAATCTACCCTCAGTCTTATCTTGTCCAGACAAAATAGGCCCAGTTCTCTCAGCCTCTTCTCGGAAGTTATGTACCTCAGCCCCCTAACCATTTTTCTTTGCCCTCAGGCCAGCCTGGATATCCACACTCAGCCATGAAGGTTTCTTGGACCCTTTTCCCGCCTTCCTGTGCAGTGGAATTGCATCCTGCTGCACCCCAAGGATAGCGTCCTTGAGGAAGGACCACCTTTCCTGGACCCCCATACTAGCTACACCCTGGGATCCGAGTGCCTCCCTGACTACTGCCCTGAGCACATCAAAGTTGGCTTTCCTAAAGTCAAGCATTGCTTATATATTTATGGTATAGCGATATTATCAAAATATAAATATATAAATTATTATTTCCATGTTCAAATTCAGTAGTTTTCATTTTTCAAATATCTGACCAACATCCACTTAATAAAGCCTCACAACTTAATTGTGAGGCTTGAAAAGAGTACATAGTGAGGTGGACTGAGGGAGACAAACTGAATGAGATAGTT